CACCAATGCAATGTTTTTTTTAATAAATTAAGTAGTTATTGTTTTATATAGAGAATGCTATTTTCACCCACAACATATTTTATTTCACCATCAAATTAAATATATTTTCTCTATTTTACCCTTTTGCTCATCTTTCACACATATTTTGTAACAATTTAAAAATTGTTCACCACCAAACTAATTAAAATATTCACAAAAAAAATTTCGACCATTTTTCAGTTGAATCTTCGCCATAAAATCTCATCATCTCCACCTTAAGTGAACGACACCTTCGTCAATACGGGAAGGTCACAAGGAGCAAGAATCACGTTCTTGGAGAAATAAATTAAATTAAGATTTCTTGTATATATACAATTAAAAAGAATTAAAAATCGAGATTTTTGATATTTTTGTTTTCGGTGGATTAAAATTTGAAAAATGGGTTACATTTCATTCAGCGTAATCCGCCCAAACACTTATTCAGATTAGACGATTTTTAGAATCTTGTTTTACTATTTGAAATTGATTTGTTGCATTAACACAAGTTACATTCAGGAAAGAGGAGGAAATAAGCATGGGAGGGTGGAATGTTAAAATTTTTAAGGGTATTTTTATTATTTTAAATAAACTTAGTGGTGAATTGAGATAATTTGGAGGTGGAAATAGCACCACTCTTTATATATAATCTACAAGAAGTTTTAATCGATTTACACTATTAATAATAAACAGATTGCATTTTCTATAGTATTTTCTATTTTTCTTACATTAAATTCTCCATAATTTCATTAATTTCTTTTTTCAAGAGAATGTTGTTCTCTTCTTCTATGAATTTACTAGTGGTTTTGCACTATTGATATACATATAACGAACACCCTTGTGTATGCGTGCGTGTTTATTGGGTGGTTATTTCACAAATTTATGGTGCAAAATCACCCAGTGAAGTTTACCGAGTGTAGCATAGAATATAGTGGTACAAATTCTTAAAAGGTTTTACCACTAAGAATTTTCTAGATTCTCGGTTAAAATTGAAACTCATTACAATTTAATTTGGTTTTGATTTATACAAAAGATATCGTTTTTTAATATTATTCTATTAGTATACCGAATTAGCTCGATAAAAAAAGTTAGTATACTATTGCATCGCGTTGATTTTCATACCATTCAATTAGTATACCGAATTGGCTTTATAAAAAAACTTAGTACACCAAATTGCGTCGCTCAATATAAATACTCTTGAAATATTTGGTAAGCAATAAATGTGGCTCTTGAAATATTTAGTGAGCAATAAATGTGGCAAAAGTTTCTATTTTATTTTGGGGACTATTAGTGAGAACCCCCTCTACTATTTTTTGATAAGGGTGGATCCAACCACTTTTTCATTATTAATGATAAATCCAACTCTTTCTTTATTCCAAATATGCCCTCTTCACTATTAACTTCCCATTAAGGCAGTTCCACTAATATGCTGATGGATTTTTTATTTTTTCTAATTATTTCTCTTATATAATTTTAATTTCTATTTTTATTCATTTATTAAAAAAATGAATAATTAATTATTTTTTATTAACTATTTTTTTTGTAATTTTTAGTTTTCTCGTAGTTGATATATATATAAATATATATATACACACACACACACTCTACTATTTTTATTGAAATCAACTATTTTTTTGCCATAATCAACTATGAAAAAACTATAACACAACTATTAAAAACAGTTGTTTTCAATAGCAAGTTTACCAAAAATGAAACTACTACAAATCAACTATAAAAAATTACAATCAACTATAAAATTCTCGAAATCAACTATAAAATTGTCGTATATCAACTAATAAATTATCCAAAACAACTACGTAATCGAAAACAACTAAATTTTGATTAAATCAACTACTTAATCCAAAACAACTGCGTAATCGAAAACAACTATATTCAAGAAAATTACTATAAAATTGAGCGAATATAACCACAAAAACATCTTCTTCCACAATCCGCGAATGGAGGGCGGTGGTTTATGGCAGCAGATGAAGAATGATGCCACGTATGAGAACACCATATTCCTGAATCCACGACGGATGTGACGATTATGACTGCGGATGAAAGACGAGGCCACGTGGATCTAACTCTTCCCCTTCGACGTCACATAGATGTACTTCCACTATGTGTCCATCAACTTCGGCGAGATACGAAGTCGGGACCGAGATTTTGAGGAGCAAAAGAGTGGTAGAGGTTTAATGGAGATCGGAAGGAAAGAGAAGGATAATGGATTTTTGGGCGGCTGATGGGGAGGACGACGTGTTCATAGAATAAGTAGGGTTTAATGTGGCTGAAAAATAGTAGGGTAATATAGGCACACCACTTAAAATTCGAATTTATCCTAAATTGAAATATGAAATTGGGGGGATTTCACAAATATGCTAAATGAGATTATATCCATCATAATATACTTAAATGTATTGGGGAGTTTCCACTAAATATCCCTTTATTTTGTTTATTTGGTAGAGTTCATTGAGTGCGTTAAATATTGGCATGTAATGTTGAGATATTTCATATTTGTGATTATAGGTTTGTGAATATTCAAAGTATAACATTCTTAATCTATGTAGTGCGGACATGGAAACGACGATACAAGGAGAGGGGGAAAGGAACACGGGGAAACATCATATCTAAAAAATGGACTTAGAGGAAACTTGTGAATGTTAAAATTATAGGGGTATATTTATAGATTTGTTAATAATATTATATTAACATATATTAGTTGTTATTTATATATAACTACTTTTATATATTTTAATACAAATATATTTAATATAAATATTACTATCAACTATCAATTTGCAATTGATCTTTAAATCATGTAAATAATTAGGGAAGCAACAAAAATATTTAAAAATTTCCTCATGTTTCTAAGTTTTTGAAAATTATAAAATGACACATAAGGTGTTCGGCAGGTGTGCTCGAGGGTCGGACTTAAAAGGTATCCAAAACAGCGATATGTTCAGAAGCTGAAATACCCATGCAACATTGCTCTTAATTGTTTTAAATATAATCCTATAAACATTTACCAACCATGCTTTTGATTTATTTTTGTAGCGAACCATCTCATAAACCCATCATTTAGAGTAGTGTGTTATAAAAACTACATCCTACAATATATTTTTTTAATTTTATAATTGTTGGGCTAAATACCTAACATGCAAGTGCACGTATAGGTAACAAGTAATAAAAGTGGACTCGTGATAGTCGGATGTCGAACCCAATGGGAATACTAAACTTACCTAATCCTAAGTACCGAATTCTAACAATTATGATTTTTATCCAACCTATGCAAGGTTGTCAAGTTTTATCAACTAAAGAATTAAACTAACTATGAAAGCAAATAATCACGATAAGATATCAATAAAACGGACGTAGAATTTTATCTTCCCCATATGCGATAATTCATCACCCAATTAAACCTCTATCATGCAAGTTACGATTTCCGATTATTAACCCGATACGCTAAATTACTCATAACCCGTTGTCGCGTGTATTATAAGTTTATTATTCATAAACAGTTCACTATATTTCTATGCAAACCAATTATGAATGAAGCATTAATTAAGAAGTCTTGTAAACGGCTACCTAAGGTGATATTTGTATGTCTATGATAACACATGCAATTAACACACTAATCCTGTGAAAACTACTCGAAGGCTCGTCTATCCATGTTCTAATATGCTTCTAATGGGTCCTCTATTTTGGATTAATTATGCCGAAATTATATATCGCTTAAAATATTCTGAGCTCGCACGTAGTTCTTATACACGCACTTGCCTTTGCAAAACATGTCTATTTGAGTAAATTTGGTTGCATTTATAAGATATCATAATTAAAACTAAAGATCTGCTGGAGGTCGGGACTAATATAATTTGCACAAAGTAGAAGCCTCGCAAAGACCTATATGCTACGATCGAAAAACCTCGGATCCCTTGCTCCAGAAATAAACAGTAGTAGGTCCCTGAGGTTAATAAAAACACAAGGCCTCTAGGACCTACAAAGGCCTACACGCTATGCAATCTTTGGGATAACAGTAAATATGCCCACGAAGTAAACCGAAACCCAAGGCCCACGAAGGCCTACACGCTATGGTCGAAAAACCTCGGAGCCACCCTTGCTTCGGAAATAACAATAGTAGGTCTGCGAGGTAAATAAAAACACAAGGTCCGCAAAGACCTACAAGCTACGGTCGAAAAACCTCAGAACCCTTGCTCCGAAAATAAGAGTGTAGGTCTGCGAGGTAAACCAAAGTAGAAGGTCCGTGACCTACACTCTCAGGTTGAAAAGCCTCTGACGCCTTGTTCGAAAATAACTGGTAATAGGTCCGCGAGGCGATCATTAAGGGTGAAATGCCTCAAAGCCCTTGTTCGGAAACAACAAAAATTAGGTTCTTCACCTACTCGCAAGGGTTGAAATAACTCACGGCACTTGTCCGAAAATAAAGTAACAAGTTTGTACCCGGCTCGCTTGGGCCATCACCTCAAGGAAGCTAAAACCTTTGTGCATGAACAAATGCAAAAGCGACTAACTCGTATGAGAAGTCCTAACACCTAGACACGTTGACGCTCAAAATAAATAAGTTCACTCATGTTAACATAATTGAATTACTCAAGTAGAAATTGGTTATCGATCAAAATTGCAGGAACGCGAGCCTAATACAAAAATACTTGGAAATAATTTTGTACGGAAAATTTCATCCGTAAAAAACATTCAAGGTATTTGGACAATCACTTCGCTTTTATATTCTTTAGTGAACCATTTCGCTAGGTTCACTAGAGAATACGAGGGTGTATATGATGGGGGTCAGTTTTTCAAGGTTGGGCCAAACCTCCCAGTCTTGGGTTAGGAGAGATTGAACCTACAACTATAATTCTTGAATTAGCCCATAGTTCTTTAGTTTACCCAAAGGGTATTTTAGAGAATGTGCTTGTAAAAGTTGATAAATTTATCTTCCCTTCTTCCCTGTTGATTTTGTTGTACTTGATATGGATGATGATAGGGAGATACCTCTTATTGTAGGGATACCGTTTTTAGCCACGTCAAGAACTCTCATTGATTGTGCCAGTGGCAATCGTACGATGACGGTGCATGATCAAACGATCAAATTTAATGTTTTTAGTGAAAATAAAAATCCATGTGATAACAATGATTGTTTTGCTACTGATGTTATTGATTTTACAAATCTAGAAAACTTTGATGTTTTGATCTTGGACCTTTGGAAATCATCTTTGAGTGTGCAGGAGACGATAGCGGAAACGAGAGTAGGAAGGAAAAAGTTTGCTTTATAGACTCAACAAAAATTCCTCCAAAATATGGTCGAAAAAGTTGGGGAGTTCACGACAATGAGAGTGCAAGGAAACGGATGTTGCCACCCAAAGAGCCAAACAAGTCACGAGTTAAGGCGTATGTAATCTATTGGGTTCATAAGGATAGAGTCAAACGGAAATTTCACAACAGACAATTGGTGTCATTGTGCAAATCCCGTTTTTGGTTATTCCCAAACAAGCTCAAATTAAAGTGGTCGGAGCCGTTCATTGTCCCAGAAATTCTTCCTCACGAAGTAGTCAAAATAAAAGAGTGTCACTCGGATCGCATGTTTAAAGTTAACGGGAGCCGGCTCAAGCATTATTGGGGAGGCAGTGAAGATTGTCAAGTGACTCCGGTCACTTCAACTTAAACATAAAAAAACAACGTCCGACGGAAGACTCTAAACTTAGCGCTTGTCAGGAGGCAGCACGGGCTTTATTGCTTTTCGTATTTTTCTTTAATTATATATATATATTTTTTTTCATAGGCATTTATTCAAATTAATTATTTGATTTTTTTTTATATTCAGGGCCGAAATAATAATGAGGAACTCTAGACGGCCGTCCGAAAATATAAGTGTAAAGCCAGACTGCCGCCTGAGTTTACGAGGGGCAAACCCAACTTACGCAATTTCAGACGGCTGTCCGAGTTTTAGTTCAAATTTTGAGAAGGCCGTCCGAAATCCTGACGTCGAAATCCACTTACGCAATTTTAGACAGCCGTCCGAGGTTTAATTGAAATTTCCAGACGGTCGTCCGAAATCACAAAATCGAAAACCAACCTACGCATTGTGAGACGGCAGTTCGAAAATCAATTTAAATTTCAGGACGGCCGTCCGAAATGCAGATTGGGCGTCTTCAAAGAAGGAAAATCAGAATTTTCTCGCGTAAATTCTCACACCCAGATGACGACGATTCCGACTAAGTCAGGTGTTTTATATCCTTGAACTTTGTTCTAATTTCATTGAGGGCAATGGAAATTTGAAGTTTGGGGGTGGCAAAACATGTATTTGTGCTTATTTGCTTTAGTTTGCATACTTTTGAGTTTATTTCACTTTACATGTTTTTTTAATAATAAACTTTTTTTTATTGCTTTTTTATTATTAAAAAAGAGTTTGCTTGAGTTGGATGCATCGGTGAGTTATGATGATGAGAGATACTCAATGTTTGATGATGGAATTACTTGTTTTGTTGTGATAAAGATTAGATGTTTGTTTAGCTTTCAATTCAACAGAACTTAGAAGCAAATTATTGCTAGGAATCACGCTTTGTGCATTGCTTTTGTTGAACGTTTTGTATTTTAAATTTGGAATTAATTTATGTTAGATCATGCTATGTTCGACTTTAGAGCTCACTTTAGAGAATTTACAATACGACGTATTGAGTAGTGAGTGATTTGGGATATGATTAGGGCCTTCTTTGAACTGTTTGAGCCTTTCAAGCCAACCTTTTTATCTAAATTATCCGTAGAACCTTGATTTGAGCCTTGGAAAAACGGTGTTCTTTCTTTAGCCATTACTTAATAAGGTAGAATAGATAAAGATTCTTGAAAACAAAAATTAACCCTTGTTTTTTGGTTGGAAAAATTAAAAGTCCTTCTTTTTCCTCTTCGAGAAAAACAAGAAGAGAAGAAAAATAGACTAGAAGGGAGAAAAAAAAGGACTAGTTGTTGAGTTGTTTTTTAAAGCTCGATCCATTGTCTTATGAGCAAAAGTAATCAACTTTTGTAAACTTAAGAATCAAGTTTATTAAAGTCCTTAGAGGTGAATTCATTGTTTCAAACGCCTATCTTTCAAATTTTGGCGCAATTCAAGAAGCATAGCCACTTATACCCATATTTCCTACCTCAACCCAAATAGCCTATCAATTGAAAGCCAAAAAGCCCCAATGATTCCAAAATCTTAATTGAAGAATTGAATAAATTGAGGGTCAAAACTACAATTTAGAAGAAAAGATTGACAAAATGGAGAAGTCAAATATCCGAGAACGAAAGACTGCGCGCAGTAAAGAAACTTCCAAAAATAACAGGGAAACTGGCTTTGTAGTATTAGCATGGGAATACAGTTAATCTCTTACGCAGCTATTATTGAGATTTGTGCTTCATGTTGTTTTCTAGATTTAATTGTGTAGGAATACAGTAATTAAATCTAGAGCATTATAATCGTAATACACACGGAAGCGGGTTATGATTAATTTAGCATCTCAGGTTAGTAATCCAATCTAATAATTTGCATAATTGAAGGAATTGTGGAATTAATAATCACATAGGGGGTGAATAAAATCCTAGGTTTGTTTACTTTGATAAATCTTCGTGTTTTAATTGTTGTTTTGCTTTTGCTTGTTTAAATTGTTTTTAAATTGTTTTAATTTAATTTAGTTTAATTAATCATGTATCGACCGTGTAGGGTGGGCTTGAGAATAATTGGTAGAATTTAGCTTCTAGGATTAGATAATTCAATATTCTCTGTGGGATCGATATTCCGACTTAATTGTCCTCTAAATTACTTGTTCGATATGTGCACTTGCGTGTAGGTAAAATCATCAACAACAGGCAGGATCACGCATCCGAGTACAATTAATCATGCATCGATTACATAATTCGATGTGCGAGAGACTTACTCGATCCCCGTCCTGGGCATAAAGACATCTAGGGTACCCTATACATTATCAACAAATCACAAGAAAGATGTGGAAGGAGCATTTATCATTTCTACTTACTATATTTTTAGTCATTTCGAGCGATTCCATTTCTATATGTTTCTCTCCCTTTGCCTCAAATAGGCTTGTAACATTTACACTTTGATTACATGAATCAAGCAAGTCATTTTCTTAACTCTCAATGTTGTTTTTAGTTTACTACATAACTACCATCTTGAGTTAATATCATTACAACCCTAGGAACACTTAGAGAAACTATGATACTCTATATAGCCGGGTCAGCTTGAGTATCTAAATCGCTCTATTTGCTTTCAATGGGTCCCTCATTTAAAATGTGGCCACGGTCCTAACATATATACGACCCATGAGGTCTAAACAAGGGGAACTACCCCCATCAAAAATCTTGAGAGACTGATCCCCTCATCAAGTACATCACGGACAATGCTAAATGTAAACACATGCAAGCAACGCGTCAAACCATTGACAATGTAAAAAATAAGAAATTAAATATAAAACTTGAAGTTTCAAATGCAAACGAAAATCAAATAAAATACTAGTAGGCATACCCATCCATCTCAAATATAGAAATAAACCAAATAATCGACCCACGTAGGGAGGGGGGATAACTATCCTACCAGGCTAACCTATACTACCCTAAGCATTCCTATCACGAGCGGAAGTTTCTCCCATGGTGGGATCATCAGCCTCAATATCACCCGCAATCTCGGTGCCCGTCTCATCGAGCTCCTCTACCTTCTCTCCCTCATCGGGAATGCCCGGTTCCATCCCTCGGATGACGTCGCCATCGATCCCGCCTACCTCAGGAAGATACTTGTGACAAGACCTCACCAACGGGGTATAGACCGTTGCTAACACTTCCTCGTCAATCATAGATCGATAAGTCTCGCTCTCTACGAAGCGACGCTCCACCGCCTTCGCGACTGCCTCCCTGTAGGCAGCCCCTCCAGATGTGGCAGGAAACCTCTTTCCCGTCTCCTTCTCAGTGTCATACTTCTCCTTCAGCAATTCATAGCACCTGTTCAACTCTTCAAACTCACGTCTACTAACCTCGAGATCATCTGCCTTTTGAGTGAGCTCCAACTAAGCCGCCAATAGCTGGAAGCTTAGTTCCAACTCCTCCACGACGAGCGCGCTTCTCCCCCTCTCTCTCCTCTGCTTCCATGAGGAACCTCCAACTCGCAAGTGACTATATTAAAATATCAAATGGTCACACAAGCGCAATGGTAGAATGGAAATGAACATTTAACTAAAACAATCACTTACTCGACATATGTCTCCACCAGCCAAAGCAAGCATATGCGAAGAACCCTTGGCGGACATTTGACCACGGTCGTACTCTCCAATAAGACCCTCGGTCATCTTCATCGCCATGTTGTGATTCGCCATGTCCACTAGGGACTCTTTCCAATCCCGGTTCACTCCATAAGTGAATAACTACTTGCCTTCTCCATTGTGAAAAACATAAGGCACCTCCGGATCTACTCGGAGACGTTTTGGGGCAGCCACATACTCAGTCTCCACTATCTTGCCCTTCCCTTTACTAACCACGCGATCACGCACCTCCCGCTCGCCAACATGGTTGTGATTATCTCCACTCATGTGAGGAGTCTTGACGCAAGTCACCTCCTGGGACCCACTACCGGTTGACCTCCCTTGCTTCGCGGGAGCTTTCTTCAGCTGCTTCTTCGAAACTCCATTCGGCTTCGCCTGGAGCGCTGTGGATCACCTAAACATGACAATATACATCGTCACAATATAACATCAACGCAAAAACAATATAAGCATTATATACATAAAAGCAGGATAATAGCAATCAGCTATAATGATGGATATACGTTGGTGACCATCCGAAATCAGATGTTTCGGATCGAACTCTACTTTACACAACCAAGTCCTTAATGCGCTTCATCATGTTCTCCATTATCTTTAAAGCCTCAAAAATAGGATTCCAGACATGGGGAACATCGAACGTAGGAGCTCTCACATAGAAAAAGCGAGACATCCAATTTCCCCAGTCCACCTTCATACCCTTCAAAAACCTATTATGGACTCGTGGATGTCTGCAGAAGAAGGTTAAGCTACTCGGGCAATGTAACGTGAACAACGCCTTGAACATATCAACGCTGCCCGACAATCCCATTTTCGTCATCCTCTGGCGAAACGCCTCGAACGTGAGAACCACATTCGGCGACAACTGACTATACCCTGTCCTAAAATCCTCACATAACTTCAACAATGTCGGATGCAGAGTAATCTGCTAATTGCACATCAAGTACGCCACATACATGGTATAGAACCCATCGGGTGGAGCATACAATCGCTCGGCTTTTTCCGGCACCCGTCTCTCGATTTTCTCGGGGCCCCAACTAACTGGCAAATATACTCTATGCTGTCAGCGAACTAACATCAACTAGATCAAGATTGATCGG